TGCAGTGCTGCACTCCGCATTGCGCCCGTGGTAGAACCAGCCAATCCACAGTTCTGGCGCGCTGTCGGCATTCACCCTCGCAAATGACGCCAGGCGCCCCGGCGGATTGCAAGGCATGGCGAGGCCAAAGCGATCCCATTGTATGCGTAAGCCAGGCTGTCTGCAACTTCTCTCTGCCCCCAGCGTTGACTTCTTTTCTAATCTCAAGATTGAACAGTCGCAGGCGCGCCTGTCTTTCCGTGATAATTTGTGCAGTCGCGCTGTGGAAGGAGGGACTCGAAACATTCATCAGGCGAGCTGGAAATAGCCCAAACATGGCGGCAATTCCCAACTGTGCATGAAACATGGGGCTCGCGTTAGGCCAAAAGCGACATGGGTTCTCTGGGGTCCTTGTAGCTCGAACGACGTTGTTGCTTGCGTTCGGATATTCGACTATTTGGCGACGATGACCGGCCGATAGTGATGCAGCAGACGGATGGGTTGACTGTCAACTTCGATTGCAACCTGGTTTAGCTTGGCTCTTGGCCGTCTTCTGTGCAGACATGTTCCATCATATAATTTCGCAAAGACCCAGTCTTCATTTCCCCATGTTGCCTGCAACGTCGTAGGTGACACACACTTCGCCTTCGAGGGTTGTGTCCGTATCCATACTTTCACAGGCTAACAGCCATCTCTGTTAGTGTGCAGTGGTCCACTGTCCAGCCATTGATCCTCTTTTCCCCCCAGCCAACCGCCTGTCGGGTTTCTCTCGCGCTCGGAAGATTTGTCGGGAGCCTTGAACCGACGTGGGCTCTTTGTGAAGCGCGACGAGCATGGTTGGCCAGACTGACGTGACATTGGGGGTGCGCCACTGACAGACCGGATGACAGGCTCAGGGTTTCTAGTGGGCCGCGTCAAACGTTCCTGACGACCTGGGCTATTGGCCCTTCTTCAACGGAACTTTGCGATTTGTGAAATGGGTCTTCAAAGACCGTCCAAACGAGATTGAGTTTGCAAGGGCGACCTTGTTCTGCGCAACGAACCACAGCCCGCAAGGCGTTGAGTCGACAGACAGCTGCACAATCACTACAGTACTACCACTGAGCATCCGCCACTGTCAGTGTGTCGTTGGCGACGATCTTCGGTCACGCAAAGTCGTCCGAATAAGGTTGAGACCTTTAAGAACTCCAAGATTCCGACGAAAGCTAGACTTGACTCGATCGACGTTATAGGTAGTTCTGTTCGTGCCGAGCCGAGGTATTCTCGTCATTGGACTGGTCAGTGACAGTCTTTCAGGTGCCATAAATAGCCGCGCACCATGCGAAAGTTCTTGATGAGTATCGTTCAAAGAGTGCATCAGGTGTGCGAACATAAACAACGGCAGACTCGGATTTGCTGTCTGATCCCAGGGAGAGGTCCAATTGAACAGCCTGTTTTGCATGTCAGCTCCCGAGACCCCGAATGAGCCTTGATTAAACCTCTGAGCAAGCAGAATAATTGCCGTGACACTCGGTCAGATGTGAGAAATTGCCAATCTCTCCATATCCAAACCGGCAATTTGTCCGCAAGCAAGTTGTAGAGTGGTGATGTGCGCAGGTTGAATATCAAGTTGCCCAACGCTAGACATAATTGGGTAGGCTCATACTGAGTCTCAAGAGATCTCTGGCTAGGTATCTGGCATCAGAGAAGAGTATACTGCTAAAACTGAATTCTTACATTGAAGGACGTTTCGAGATCGATATCCTGAACCGCTTTGCAGGAAAAGAGTATCAAGAGATGACACTCGTTAGTGCAGTTCGGCCGAGTGCAAGTCTTTCGGGTTGTGGGTGGTGGGTGTGGAATGAAATGAGGTGGTGGGTCACAGAGCCGATCAGCACCGTGCCGCAGGAGACCTTCGCAAGACTCCATGTGACGTGACTGCCATTGAATTCAAGAGCAGACCGTGACCAAGCCCTGAATGGGCCATCATGATCCAACAAGACTGTTGTGTCCCATAAGTGCAAGTGAAAGGCACCAAACCATGTCAAGCTGCCATCAACTTCACTCTGACCCCGAAAAGATGATCGAATCCGGGAGTTGAGTCGAAGATCCGCAACGAGGCACGACTTGAACGGCGGGTTCGCAAGAACGCCAATGTAAACAAAGCTGGGTTCCGAGGAATGTCTCTGGAACTCTACAGTTGATGCGATCCGTCCCGGGGGCTAGCCATTCAGCCACACTTGTTATTTTTCGTCGGTCTGATCGACCTTGACGGGTATCCAATTCCCGTGTCAATGCCGTGCACGGCATGACCCAGCGGAAGCCGTTGGCGGGAACTCTGCCGTCGAGCTAGAATAACGGACGTTGGACACATTGTTTGTATGCAGCTTCTACACTGTCGGGGCGTGCTGAAGAGGACGCCGCTTGGACAACACGTCAAATTTGGCCCAAGGACAGAATAGACAGGGAGCCCAAGCGGCCACACGGGTCTCACTTTAATCTGGTGGTGAATCAATGAGGATCTCGAGTCGAATTGAGATGGTGCCTGGCCTATTCATGACTTCTGTTCTATCTCGTCTGTTATCGTTCAGGTTGGATTAGAGGATGGCTTTCCCCCTGATTAGGGAATAATCTCTGCGAGCATTCCAGCGTGAAGACATTTCTGGAGAAACTGATCAGCGGAGCGAAACCCGGCTGATAGTTCCTCATCTGTAGGCCCCTGATCCCCTGCCTGCCGGATATGGAACCTATTTCGAGGGCTCTTTTCTTGGAAGCCGTAAATCGCTGCAGGGGCGTTTCACGATATTCCAGAAAGATTGCCGACGAAGGTTGTCAAAAAGGCGTTGCATAAGCAGGTGCGAAATGGAAATCTGGGGGATGATGCCATCCCGCCTCTGGCGGAGGAGGTTGTGCAGGGGGCATCGGTATGGAATAGAGTTGTGAGTTCTTCTTCTAGAAGACCCAGGATAAATGACAGGCCGAGGCGAAACAGTAGTCCAGATGCAAGAGACTCTTAGAATTCGCAGCCTTGTCGTGTGGCCAGTGGCATGCCGGTCGAGACAGTGCATGCCTCCTCCTCGGACTTTGGTGCGGCGCGACCTAGTCATTATGGTGCAGAGGGGGAATAGGTGGTGTCGGCGATTGGCAGGGGCAGAGTGGGCAGAATACCAGGAGTAATCTGATATTGCATAGCCTTCCGGCGCTCGTTTGAAGGGGTGTTTGCTGGGCTGAGTGCGAGTGATTGCTGACAGACTGGGAAATTCTCCTTCGCGTCCCATGACGCCCCGCCGAAGAGCTTGCTCGCCGGTCAACACACAACGTCAAGAGCAAGGAGGCTGGTCTTAGAGGCAATCGTGTCGTCCATCATTGACTATATCCGTCGTGGCCCATAGGGGGGGGGGGGGTTTCCCGTTTTAGCTGGCAGCGATATTTATCGTGAGGCGGCTTATTGGATCCGATGAGCGTACTCCAGCCCAATGCGAGGCCAGAGTGATGCAGGGCAAGCCGCAAACGCTGCCATGTCGAAAGCCCAGGGAGGGTGATATGTCGTCGGTGATGACAACGGAGGCCTCTCCCAAACAGAACACATCGGACATTGCCGTGATATGCGAAATAACAGACAGTGACGGAGTCATCTGAAGTGTTTGTGTCTACCCAGCGACCGCTGTGGTGAATGGTGTTGGGCGGGCGTTGACTGACAGGGCGTTGGAGTGGACGAGGGTTTGGAGGTGGACCGGAGCGGAGGACGACGGTTTATTTGTTTCATCAATGTCGAATTGGGTAGGCAGGTCGCAAGAACAGGAGGTGAATGCTGGCAGTGACAAATGATCTGGAAAAGGAGAAGCATGTCGAGTATCCATAGAGTCGATTCGGAAGCGAAACAATTGTGCATGTTGAACATGTCCCGCCGTGAATCGGATTGTGGCATTGTAGTCGGCGAATTTCTTCATGCCGGTGGGTGGTGGAGGAGGGTGGGGGATGTGGGATGGGAAGGGACTCAGGGAGAAAGGGACGCCCAGAAGGGAAGGAATGACAACCCAAAGACGGAAGCGGGAGAAAGAGCCAACGAGAACCTTGGGACTGGGACGTATTGCGTCCAGTTTCTCACGTCAGGTACTGAGGTAGCTGCGTTCTCCATACAAGGCAGGTGTCCAAGGTACCTACCTACCTTCCATGCCTTATTTCAATGGAAAGCAGAGGCATCTTTTGAATACCAGCGATGAGTACCTGCCTCTTTTGACTGTTGCGCACGATCAACTCAAAGTGACAAGAAGCAAGAGGGCGATAGTACGTACGGATACGTACTGCAAATACATGGAAGTAGGAATGGGAGGAACGAACGACCTACTTTGCAAAGTCACAAACAGACAGCGGAGTCATCCACTTCCTCAGCGGGATGGACACAGAGGACCAGGAAGAGTGGAGATATGTCACATTTGATGGGTCCGAAATAAGGTACCTGAGTACTTCGGTACGTATCCTCACGTCAACACCTCATTGTGGTGGAAGGTGCCCTGCACTGAGCCACTGTGCGAGGAAGGAGCCAGCAGGGGAGTACCATCTTTCCTCTGTCTTTGCGCACCGTGATCTCCAGCCCACTTGTAGTGTTTGAACACCGTGTTTTGTTAGAAGTTGATGATTTTCGCACAGTATGGCCAGCCAAGGCAGGAACACTTCGAACCTGGAGTCACGTCGTGAGCGGGCATCGTCCCCATCTGTGCCTTGAATTCACCTCTCCTGCCTTGATCAAGGTAGTGAAAAGCATCAATACTAAGAAGAAAGTAAATCTGTCAGGTCGTAGCTAAGGTTGCTTGATCCGTTCCTCGTCAGTTGGGCCGCACGATGATGGATACGTAAGGCACCTTGTCACTGTAAGGTATGGTAAGGTAGGTCAAGGTTCTACCAAGCCCAGGCAAGGCTGGGATCATTGACAGCTGTCAAATGAGCCACTCTCCGGAGCTTCAGGACCCTCGACGTGCCGCTTGGATGCTGGTCCTGCCAACATCAGCATTGAAACTGACTATTATTGCGGATATCGCAGTATGCTAAGGTATGAATGCCTACCCGAGTCTCCGAGGTGGCATCAGAGTGTCAAGGATAAATGGCGTGGAGGACGACAGTACCACAGCCTGATGTGTATGTGACAATTGAGCACTCAAGTTGGTGTGAGATGGCGCTATCTATCTCAGCTATCCGAATCTTTATGGAGCATCAGTCTGTCCTGTCATTCTTGTCAGCTGAGGTTCTCGTCCTGACAAAGAACTTTGAAGAACTCACGGTCCTCGACGAATCCCCCGTTTTCCCCGTGTGGCCCAGTCCGCCCCGTGTGGAGCAGCTCGGAGTTGGCCGAGGCAGGGCGCAATTGAAGATTCGGATCAAGCATGTGCTTCATCAACACGGATAGCTTAGATAGTGCGAAGAAAGGAAAAATAAACACGAGAAGAAAAAAAAAACCGTCAATCTTGTCTTGTCTTGGAAGGACGTTTTACCCGTCAAGCCAACGTTTGTCCAAGCATTGTCTCAGAAGCTTCCATTCATGCCTTGATGCCTGCTACGACTTCTTCTTTTCGCCGCGCACAGACGGCAGGGTGGAGCCGTAGACTTCCGGTCCGGGCACGGCACCCAAGGCCCCAGGGGCAAGATCAAGAGGAGCAGGGATCAGGGATGTTCGTGTCAAGGATGTTGTCAAGCTGTCTTCTCTGCCCGTCAGGGGACAAGGGGGAAAGTGGAAAGCACGGAGGCAGTGGAAGTGGGAAGTCGGAGAGGAGACACAAAAAGTGAACTGTGAGGAAAGAAGTTTAGGCATGGGAGAGATGAAGATGATGGGCGGTGGGGGTTGACCAGGGGCGAACAAGGGGAGGAGAAAAGGACCCGGTCGTGGATGATGTTCTTCTCTCCGCAGAAACGGCCAAAGCACAGTGACTTGCAGCATCGATGGTCAAGAAATGGCAATGATGTGCCTACGCGTTGCTGCGATATTCATTTATGCCGCGGGAAAATCAAGGTGTTGAGAAAAGGAAGAGAGAGAAAAGACAAGAGATTGTCCCGATTGAATCTCAATCGGCCCATCTCTGGCGTTCACGTAATAGCTGGATGTAAACCCCTAGGGGACCTTATGCCAGGGCTGATTCATCTGAGATACAATCCATGGTGGCACAGTCTGTTTTTTTTTTTTTTTTTTTTTGTGGTCGGATCCCGCCGTCTCTTATTCACTGCACTTTGCACTTTGTACAGGGCAGAAAATAACCGGACAGAGCAGGGATCCTCCCATCGAGTGCAAGGCGAAGCCGCGAAGCAACAACGCAGAGACTACGGAGTACGGTAGAGCAGAGACGATTTACGTATGCAGGCCCTACCACCCGATTGATCCTTCCCTGCCTTTTTTTGTTGCCTTTTTTTCCCGACATCCACTCACTCACTGACTTACTCCCACTCACCTACTTCGTGCACAGTAAAGTCAGGGTGAAAAGTCTCGAGTCACTGACCTAATCACTCAAACCACCTCACCTGCACCTCTTGTTGACTTCCATTAGCTAAGATAAGGTACCTATGTACCTGCCTACCTTACCTTACCTAGGTGAGCCAACCTAAGGTACAGATGCAGCACCTCGCAGCTTGCCCTGTTCAGTCTTGCTCCTACCCTTACCAACGCAGCTGGCGTTACTTCACCCACCTTCACCTGCCTTAGCTCAGCTTAGCTCCAGATCAGGCTACCTTACCTACGTTACCTGAGGCAGAGACAAGACATTCGACGCATGGTGGTGTACCTCGACACGGTCCAACACGTGTGTCGGTACTTTCTCGGGCACATGGAGCACATGAAGCAGAGACACCTTAAGGCAAGGCCAACGTCTGCGCCTCTGTCCAGACTCCACGCAGTAGGTAGGCCTCGAGGTGTGGAGAGAGGCAGAAGAAGGAGGGCAGGTTGCAGGACCATCTTTCCCAATGTGGTCTGTTGCTCTGTTTCCCGTTCCATCCTCGACTGGACTCGAGGAAGGAAGTACCTGCCTTCTTTTTCCCAGCCCAGCCCTGCCCTGCCCTGCCTTACCAAGTTGCGCCTAAGGTACTCCGTCCGGACAGTACCATGGTGCGGTACCTGTCTACTTGTGGCGTACATCGAGACATCGCAGACGACACACCCGCACCCGTCTCGAGGACGGGCCAAGTATCGCCTACTTCCGCCATCCGTGCTTTCTCGTAAAGACGGAAGTCACTTTAGCCTGACAAGGTACCTTTAACTCAGGTAGTCCACGCATCTCCCGTCTCATTCAGCACTTACCTTCAAGGGATATCCTTCCTGCCTACTTTATTGTGTGCGCAGCAAGCAACCGGCCTTCGCGCCGCGGTCCATCTGAACGCCCCTTCCCTCTCAACCTTACGGTCCTTGTCTCTACTTTGGTAGGTATACGGATACGTACCCAGTGTAATAGGTCGTCGATCCAGACGTGCCTGCCATTCCACAACCTGTACGCTCCATTGCTCCATAGTTCCAATGGGTGTGTGGATGCATCTGGGTATTGCCTGCCAGTGTCTCTTTCCCCATCTTTTTGATATGCATGGGTTATGGCCAATACCGACATGGAACGGTTACAGAGACTGAGCGGAATGGACATGGGGAGGCACGGCAAGGTAGGGTAGGAACGGGAGACCAGGTCCCAGTTGAACAATTCAGCCAGGTGAACGCCTTTCACCTTCTCCCGTCCACCTCCTTCTTCCTCCGTGTCAATCGACAACTCCTTCCCTTGGCTATTTATCCAAGACTCTACGAGGTACACTATTCTTGGTTACCTAATATAAGGAAAGGGAAGGTATCAAGTCACTTTGACGTTGACTCTCGCGCCTCGCGCCCTGCAACCTCACTTCCTTCTTTTTCTCTCCACTGGTGAATATCAGATCTGTTCCGTTCACCTCATTTCTCCTCTTCTGCATCTTTCCCCCTCAGAGTTCCCTGGCCTGACACTTCATCGTTTACAAGGCCCTCACTTTGGCCGGCATTAACCTTACATGAGATCCACTTGGACATCCCGACTGATGTGGTGAGGCCCTCTGCGAATGCTCCCGTCAAAAGTTCCCTCCCGACCATCTCCGGGACCCGTGCCGTGTCTGACTTAGTCCATCATCGTCTTTTTCTTCTCGCCGCATGAACGCACAGAGCAAGTCAGGACCCGTCAGAAATTGCTTCTAAATCCGACCGGACCTCTCTTTCATCTGCGCGTTCGTCTCAGGGCCCAGCCACGTTCTTCATCACGTCGTTGTTCATCTTCAAGTCATCAATTGCTCATCAACAACAAGACGGCACCAAGACTCATCTGGGCAGCAAAAACGCATACTCCGTACCCTATGTTCGGATTACTTTCCGCCTTGCATCCACATTTGATACATCGGAGTACCCAAGCTCAACGGCATCACCAAACCCATCTTGAGATTGATTGATCATCCTCCGGTAGCAAGAACGCTCGCAATATCCGTTACTCGGCACGACACGCCCACTGCCAAACGACTTCCGCACGAGGGTCAACTCAGCCGAGTCCAGCCCAAGTCAACTTGGCTTCCCTTGACCGCCCCCAAACCGCCGCTTGACAGGTCGCTTCTTGCCGAAGGTTGTCGACTGACCAGACCCGGGACGACCAGGAACGCCTCCGCCAAGAGACTCGAACCTCGCGGCACAGACCAGAGCGACACAGGGATTCTTCATCGGTCTCTCCTCAATCTTTCTGTCCCCATCGGAAGGCAACCAAGGCCTGGGCCTAGTCTATGTCACCCCAAGAGTCCCGTCCAGCATCTGGCATCCAGTTCTTCTAAGCACCCTGATAAGTGTAGGAAGTACCTGCTCTAGCAATCCACAGTCGACCAAGACAACAGAGCCGGACGCCCACTTACCATTTGGCCCTATCTTCCGAGCTACGCCCTTGCCCGCCCTTTTTGAAGTTTGAAGGCGAACGCCGTTGCATTCAGATCGAACTGTTCGTTCCTGGGTTAGAACGTCCGGCACCTAGACATGGGCTTGGGGTGTCTCTGTGTATCGTCATCGTCTCCAAATCGCGGTTGAAATCCCCGATAATCTGAGAGCCCCTCTCAAAGAGAAGGAAAAGGGGATTCATTGGTACGACACACCGTGCATCCTACTTGGGTATCCCACCTTAAGCTGCCACACCCCCCTTCCATCTTCCACTCCCACTCCCACTCCCACTTCCAATGCTCCTTCATTCTGCTGTGTCCGTCCAGACAGTCCTGTCAGAGAAGAAACAGGCAAGCATTGGCCAAGTGAACCAGCTCTTGGGACAGGGTTCATGGCGAGGCAGGTTGGGAAGACGGAGACGTGTTATTCCTCGGCACACCCCCCGCCATCTCCAAGCTTCTTTTTGGCTCAGTGCTCACAGCTTGGCTGACCGTTTTCTTTTCACAGTATTCCCAGTCCTAATCCCATACACCCAGTTCCAGTACTCGATGTTGGACGCCTCCTCCCCATCCCCAAACGTCTCCATCTTGTACACGCCCCTTCATGCGACCCCTGAGGTACGGTACCCTCTCCTACTCCACCCGTCTTTCCCTGATCCTGACAACAGCTTCCAGGGCCATTGAGACCTAGTTGGCCTGCCTGACTTTATATCAAGATCACTGCTTTACCTCCTAGTTGCATTTTCATCAACCATCTATCTACCACATCAGGTTCAACGGCATATCATCTCGGATACTCTCCCGAAGCCTTCTGCCCTCATTCCCATCTCTTACTCTTCGCAGCAAAGCCATCCTTACTCGACACTCGACTTTTGATTTCATAATCAGCAATTTCAAGATAAAGAAGGCTTAGGTTGCGTTTTGGTGGTTGTAGCAAACTCGGACAAGTATACGCGCAACGATTCGTGCGCCCGCTCCGCGCTACTCGTAGACCTCGAGTTGTCCATTTCTGCCACGGCGCTGTCGACGTACCACTGTGCTCCTCAACTGAGAGGGACGGGTGTAGCTTGCTTTGCCATAGGTAGGCCAGACCCTGTCTATATCGCCAACACATGCTGTATCTGTGTGGGTATGCTGAGAGAAAGGCCGTTGCCACTGACCACTTAGAAAGTAGAAAAGAGCCGCTTTCTTGGATACACTGGCACTACTATTGCTTCCTACCCTCCAACTCTCCTCTTGTTGCCTCTCCGCACAGGAACATTCCGATCAGTCTTCCCTGCTGCTGTCCTGTGTCCCACCTCGAGGGATCTGCGCCTGGTACTGTACGGAGTACACTACTTCGCGCTACCATCATCTGGCAGGGGTTCAGCAACCGTCAACTTCTTTGTCGCATTAAATCTCCTCCTTCCACCACTTGTACTTCTTCCATCACTTGTCGCTGTCACGTATCGTATCAGATAAGCCTCGCCCACCCGTATCCATCATCAACGGCTCCTCGCACTCGAATAATCAAATATCGTCTTTCTTACCGCGCCGCCCATTTCGGAGATACAAAAGTCTCTCGTCGCCACGGCAGACCAGCTTTCCGGGTATCAAACCTACCCTGCTACACTGATCCAACATCGAACGAACTGCCCCTATCTCCGACGTGTCAGGATATTTTGAACATAACAGACCAACTATTTCTTTTCTTACCAAGTAACAACGAACCACGGGACACCTCACAGCACATTACGTTGTCATCCGAATCATACCAATTGAACACGACGACAAATGTCGTACCAGTCTAGTTGGCACACGGGGCCGGCTCCCGACCCCCAAGAGTATGTCTAAGGCTCAACACCATGATGGATGGGAGAAGTTTGGGTAGAAGCTGACAAGTCTCAGCATAATGAGGGATAGGGACTCGTTGCGTCTGGTGATTGTTCAAGCGCCGCAACACGCCAAAATAGCAACTGGTAAAGAGAAAGGTTCGTCTGCGGCCGACAATGCTACTCGATGTGTACCTAATGTAACTTCACAGATCGTAAACCTATTGACCCTCCACCGATTCTCAAAATCGACCTCAGAAGTCACAATCAGAATTACGCAAACTTCATTCTGTCTAGTAAGCTGCGAAATCATCCTCCTGAGCCCTGTTTGCGACCTAAGCTTGTGGGACGCTAACCGTGCAATAGGCCCTAGCTTGTTCGTCCAAGTCTACCTCAAGCCCGGTGATAAGAAAACCAAAATGGATCCCGAAACCTGTGCAAAAGGCTTGGTGGGATCGACAGTATCCTCCCTGCAAAAGTACAAGAGTATCGATGGCCAGGACGAAGGCTACTTCGTTTTTCCCGACCTCTCTGTCAAGATGGAGGGCTTTTTCAAGCTGAGATTTGCGCTGTACAACATGAAGGGCGGCGAGGTGTATTTCATGACAGAGATGGAATCCCACGGCTTCCAAGTTCATACGGCGCGGTCCTACCCTGGAATGAGTTCCTCAACGGATTTGACCCGTCATCTCAGCGATCAAGGTTGTCGATTGCGGATTCGAAAAGATTCGCAAGTTGTCAAGAATCGCAAACGACAGTTCCAATACGGCATGGACTCTGAGCAAATGCGCAGCGTCCGGCAACGCCAGGGCATGGCTCAACTAGCCCAGCAAGCCCAGCGCTCGAAAGATCTCGCACAACAGCAAGGCTTCTCCCACCAAGGCTCCGCGACGGGAGTTCCAAGTCCGGCATCGTCTTCTCACGGAAGCGCACAAGCATCTGCCGGGACAATAATGCAACAGACGAGTCGGCACCAAGTCCAGGCGGTCAGCTACGCGCATCCACAGCCTTTGATGGCACATTCCATGCCAGGGATAATGGGCATGCAGTTGCCGCATTCGTCAGTGTATCCGCCACCAACGCCATCTTCTGGGCTGTCGGTTGCTTCGCTTCCCTCTACTTCACCTACGCAGAGCCCAGACTTGGTGACGCCTTCATACTATCGGCTCGACGCAGGCCTCTACGATTATACGGCAACTCAAAACAGCTTGGGGGACACTTTTTTCCCGCAGTCTCATCAGCCTTACAAGACTGAGCAATATTGGGAGAGAGACCCGGATAGTAGGATTAACAGTCATGGGCATGGTCACGGCCACAGCTAAGATACCAGAGCTATGGACAGGTGAAGAGCAAGAGCTCAACCGCTTTCAACATGAGACCTGAGCGGGAACATCAATATGGTGGTGATTTTGGTTTCTTATTTGGCTTGGTGCACATTGACGGGGGGTGTCTAGAGACGGTATTACTTCAAGCGACATTGCATAACACCAGGAACAGTTGTTGACAATGGGTCGATCCGGCGTTGGTGGTTTCGAAGGCTTCAACAGAAAATAAGATACCCTTGGGATTATTTCAACGGGCATTGGTTGGTAGCACAGTGGCGCAGCGGAAGCATAGAGTGGCATGAAATCTCAAGCAAGTCATCACTTTAGACTTTGTCCGTAGCAATAACAAATATTTCCTTCCATACCTTGCATGGCGTGCTGGCTAGTTCTCTCAAGTGCAGGAATATCAAAACTAGGCAACTAAACCATTGGCAGAGGCGTAAGGTAGCGAAGAACCCAGGGCCCTGGTTTCTCGACGGAGCGGCCCTCCGTCAGGAATCCTTGCGCCATTAGGCCGAATACCTACGGAGCGCGCTATTAGACTTTCCAAGTGTATTGGACCAGACCCTTGCCCGTCACAAATTTGCTTGCGATGCGCGATGAATAGACGTTGGTACCTAGCAGGCAGACAGGAAGAGACCGCGAACCCCGCACTGGTGCTACTTGAAACAAGACAAGTCAAGGTAAGGTACGATAGACAACAACATAAGTCAGGTAGTCAGGGGGTGTAAAGGAGGCAGGGCGATGTCAGGATAGGGCATGAAGAGAGTTGATTGGAGTTCAGGCCCTCAGCCTTTCAGCCTTTCAGGGACTAGAAAGGGAGGGAGGGGTTAGTGTTGCCAAGCTATCAAGCGCCAAGCATTCAAGGGAGGTGTCAAAATGTGTCAGGACTCTGGCGTATCCGGACCAAGGTAGGTATGTGCTCAACGTATGTGTGTACGGAGTACGGAGCATGTCTTGTTGTCGGAAGATGCCGTTTCGGATATCGGCGAGGGTGCATCGCGTCTGGTGTAAGTGGTGTGTGTGTGTTGGTGTGTCATGGTTTTGCTTCACTGGGGTGTAAGGTAACTTAGGTACTCACTGGCTGCTGCGGCGCAGGTACCGCAGTGCGTCCCCGTAAGGCTTGTCCGGCGGCATTTCGGAGGGCCGGGCGCCCGGCCGGGTGTTGGGGTTGTGGGGCCTTAGGGGGGGAAGGGGAGGGCCCCATCACGGTGTGCCTTACCTTACGCTTGGTGCCTACAGGTATGCTGGGGAATGTGGACATGTCAATGAGGGATGGATCCATTCGTATGAGCAGATTTCGACGGATTGATACTAGTCTGTGTGGGATTGGCTAAGTGAATGAAGGGTTGATGAGTGATATATCCCGCGGTTTGCTTCGTGGGGGCACGGTTTTGTCTTGGTTCTGTGGTTTTTGGGGCTGACGGATTGGGGGTTTCACGTAAGGTAAGGTACATGAGGCGCGGTGCTAGTAAGGTGGTAAGGTAGTAGATATCGGATGGGTGTTGAAAATTCTGTTCATGGGCCTTGAAATGCCTCAGACTCTGAACGACATTATTTCGTAACAGGGACATTGACATTCTACCTTAGGAGTATTGAGTAACGTAAAGAAAAGCATTGACGTTCGATTGAGTAACGTAACATTAAGCATGAGCATCGAGTGACGAATTGGCCCACGGAATCCGCGCAATTATTCCGTTCGTCTAAAGAACGCCATTGCCTCGGTCTCGGCTCAGCGACATGGCTCGGGCGGGTGAAAAGATTTTCAACCATGAACGTGATTGCTCACGTGTGACCGAGGTTCTTCCCTGAAGGTGGAGGATCAGTATGAGTTTATGTGAATCGAGTTTTCAGTAGAGCTCGGTCACAATTCACTGCTAGTTTGAAAGGAAAACCCATCGTGAGGTTCAAACAAGGTGAACACAAAGTTTGGAAGCATCTTTACCCGGCAGCATTCATGCGATGGGTTCATCTAAATCCAGCCCTATGAGGCTAAGGTACGACGCCAAAGTCAATTGCCGCCATGTGTACACAGTCCACGGTGAGCGCAACCAGACGATCGGTCCTACGAGTGTGATGGATGCCGCATCTTTTGGTCTTGAGCTATCTTTGAGTTCGAGCTCACTGCGGGTTAACCAGAGTCCTGGTGTTCATCGTGAGCCGTGTGGCAGTTTAACTTGGTTGTGGCGTTGGCGCGCACGTGTGCCATGTAAATGTCAGGCACATCACAGCGCCTTAGCCTGTGAGGCTAAGATGAGACGTGTTCGAGTGAGCCACGGGAATGATGATGCGGCAGGATCAGCGCGCCAACTCAAAAAAAAAATGACAAGTTACGGGCGTTTGAACCTTTCACTATGAATGGAGCATCGTGAGATGAAGTCAACTGGCGAGGTTCTGCGGTGATGCGGGCAGTTGACAGCTACTCCCTCCCCGCAGAATGGAGGGGCGGCGCGGGGCTGCGTCTGACAGGCCGCGGGGTCCCTGTGTGCGGGGAGCGAGAATCTGTAACACATGCTGCCCAAGTTCCCGGCACTTCGTCTCACTCTCACTCTCCACACCACCAACTCAACTTCAACCTCAACATGACGATTTCTATCTACCTACTGCGGTATCTCATCAATGTCTCATAGCAGGCCATTCCAAAGCTTCAGGTCAGGGGCATTCTTACTGCCACGATCCGACTTGGCGACAGCAACAAAACACCGCTGATTTCTGTCACTCGGCCGTCGTCCCATGATCCAAGCTGCAAACCCGGGCCGGAGGGCGCAGCCGCCTCATCCCGACAGGAGATCATGACGATCAATCACCACCTGGTCGACACATCACACTCGGGACCTTTATGCGGCTCTTTCGTGATCCGACGTACCGAATTTCCCCCCCCCCCCCTTCCCCGATTTCTTCACTGAGACTGTATCCGAACTCCGGGATGTGAGGCCTGCATCCATGCCCGCTCACAAACTTCACCCTACCCACCACCACCTCGTTCACCCGTGATCTGCAGCTAGGAAGTGTGGTGATCACGCAAATATCCTGACACCCTGCGCCTCACGTCTGGAAGTCTGCAACTTTTATAGGATTGGCTTTTCTATGGCATTGCATTCTGAGCAGGGCGTCTCGGAAAATCCGGTGCTTGGGAGGCCCTTGGTGCATGTGCGATTTGAGTACTATCCATGCCGTGTGCCAGGCGTCTCGACTACCCCTCACCGTTTATTCGTCTCATGTCCAGATGAACGCTCCATCATCGTATGGGATATCGACCGGCCATGACGTGCGTTTCGAGGTACTAGAATGCTGAGGGCCAAGATCCGGTCGATCATACATCAATGAACCGCTGCGTCATCTCTTCTGGAGTATTGACGCTTTGCTGCATAGGCTCTAGTGAAGAAGTTTACATCAACCTAGATCACTTGGAAGGACATGCATAGATGGAGGAAACTTCCAGTGTGAGAAGGCTGAGCTTGATTTCATCAACACATTCTAAATTTAGCTGCCCGAGACCGAAGAAGAAGGATGCCCAAAAAGTAGAGGACTTTGCCCGTGATCGCCACATCGTTGGCTCAATGAACGTTCTTAGAGGTCGCATCTAGTTGCACGGAGATGAGGGTAAGGTGAACAACCTGTTGGAGTTGCGAGTCGCACAGCGAGCATGGCAAACATCAGCCACCCGAGCTTGCTGGTTTCCGTCCGAATTTCAATCTCATGTACCCCCTGCCGCCCAGATTGTCACCTCGGATCTCGGGAGTACTACATGCATGGATTTCAAAGGAAGCATCCGGACGATCATACGCGCAGAGGCCTCTTGACATCAGTCTTCGCATAGATCGGGTAGGCACAATGAAAAGAACTGCCCAAAGAACAGAGACTTGACGATGTGTGACTATACTTTGCAATTACGGTATTGGCTGGGATTGCTGCACCGGACACTAATGTCACGAGGCCAGTCAGCCAGGGCTGCCAGTACGGCATGAACACGCTTCCGATTCAAGGTCGGGAGATATGAGAATGGAAACACTGTTCGACACACCTCAAACCATTTATGGAAGCTTGGGTGTTTTTAGGTTTGAGAACTTGCCAATTTCCAGCAGCTTGAGTTTGGAGGGTATATCCAGCACCCTTGTTTACGATTAGCACGGCTGATGTAACATTTAGCAGAGTTAACTTCACGTTGACTAGGTATTTCGCAGAAAGAGGAACTACGAATGATTGTGCGATGCCATCATATTCGGTATTGGTGATATCGCATTATGCGCACTCAATTTCTGCCGAGCCCTACTGATAGACAGGAACATGGCCAAGGCGTCTGGCCACTCTTTTGACGGCCTACCTTACCCAAAGAGCACTTTAGGTAGGTCAAAATACACATCTGCATCTATCAATTTTGCCTAAAGTCAAACATTCAGACATATCAGCGATGCCAAGAGGCCCTCAAAGATCATATTGTAGTCAATCAAATACTTTTCTCCATCACCTGGTTGAGGTGCATTGTGCACCTACCCCGATCAACCTCTAGATCTTAGGTGGCATTCAAAAAGCACAGGTAATGATTCATACAAGAAGCGCATGGACTTGGATGCAACAAGCCGGACGATCACACATGGCATGTTACGACGACACAGACCATTGCGGAAGAGTTTTGCCGGCCGGAATTGCAATAGAGAGTTCTCTCAAAGAGCCTCAAAAATAGCCGCGGGAAAGTTAATCCAGCAGTTCCGGATACTAGGTATTCCGAAATGTCCAATGTTGGCACAGCAACCATCGTGTTCGGGACTCCAGCCACATTCCATTTGGAGCGAGAATCTTTAGCCGTCATAGAGAGAAAAAGTTTGAGAAAATCGCATAGTGTGACACGCGAAAGGTCGGAATTTCAAGCGAGAGAACCCAGTGATGGACCGGACTTCCTCGGCCTTGAAACCCCACATCAACGGTGCCTGGGCTGAGCTACATTCGGAACTCTCCCACCGGAAGGAAGATTGCAGTCGGTTTAAGGTCTCAACAAG